GTCAATTCCATGGATTTGTCTATAACCTTTTGCTACCAATCTAGCTTTGAAGGTATGAACCTTCCCGTCTACGTCTGTTTTCTTTTTGAAAATCCACTTGCACCCTATGGGTTTTATCCCTTCGGGCGCATCAACCAAGGTCCAAACTTGGTTTGTGTACATAGACTCCATTTCGGATTTCATGGCATTAAGCCATTGTTCGGATTCGAGGCACGTGATTGCCTCGAGGTAGGTCTCAGGTTCGCCTTGGTCTACCAGCAAGACGTCACCTTCATCAGATACAAGGAAACCGTATCTAACCGGAGGATTACGCATCCGGTCTGACCTACGTGGTAAAACCCGAGCCAGTCGAGATACTAAATCTTGACGCTCGGGTTCCACTGCTGTTGAGATCTCTTCTTGTGGTTCTCGAATTTCTTCGAGGTCTACCTTTCTCCCACTAGAAATAGCAGAGAGAAACTCCTTCTCAAGGAAGGTTCCGTTCCGAGCAACAAAGATTTTGTTATTGGTCGGATGATAGAACTCATACCCTTTCGTTTCCTTAGGGTATCCCACAAATTTACACCTGTCAGATTTGGAATCTAGCTTACCAGACGTCATGAGGCGTCTAACGTAAACATCACAACCCCAAATCCTCAAGTACGACAAATTTGGTTTTGTCCCACGCCATAATTCGTATGGTGTGTTCTCAACAACCTTAGATGGTACGCGATTTAGTGTGTGTGCGGCTGTTAATAGTGCTTTTCCCCAAAAAGAATCTGGTAATGTTGTCAGACTCATCATACTCCGAACCATATCGAGCAGCGTTCGGTTTCTCCTTTCAGACACTCCATTTAATTGGGGTGTACCGGGAGGAGTCAGCTGGGATAGGATCCCGTGCTCTTTTAGATAGTCGTCGAACTCCAGGCTTAAGTACTCACCTCCTCGATCCGAGCGGAGGATCTTGATACTTTTGCCTAATTGTTTCTCTACTTCGTTTCTGAATTCTTTGAACTTGTCAAAGCATTCCGATTTGTGTTTCATGAGATACACATATCCATATCGACTGAGGTCGTCAGTAAATGTTACGAAGTATGAGAAACCACCTCTAGCTTCAGTGTTGATTGGGCCACATACATCAGAGTGTATGAGGCCTAATACATCACTCGCCCTTTCACCGTGACCGGTGAATGGAGCCTTTGTCATTTTACCGAGTAAACAAGATTGGCATACATCATAAGACTCGAGGTCAAATGAATCAAGTACGCCAGAGTGACGTAACTTAGATATGCGTTTCTCGTTAATGTGGCCCAAACGACAATGCCAAAGGTATGTGAGATTCAAACTGTTTGGTTTGCTTCTCTTAACATCTACGTTATAAACAGTGGC